GGGGGCTTGTCGGAGTGCTCCATGTGCAAGTGGGGTGGCGGTCTGGGTGCAGGGGTGGGGTCCGGAGGCAGGGAGATGGGGCTCAGTGGGGGGTCAAGGTGCAGGGGGACTCGATGCAGAGGGTGAGGCTTGTCGGGGTGTGGGTTTAAGGTGCAAGGGGCTCAGTGGGGGAGGTTCTGGGTGCAAGGGGTGAGGTTTGGTGGGGCAATCTGGATATGAGGTGGTTCCAGATGCACGGGGGTTGGGCGGATGGGGGAGCAGCTCCCTGTGCAGTGACCCCTCCTCCCACAGCTGAGGAGCGATGGAGGCAGGAAGTGGAGGGGTGTGGAGCTTCCTGCAGCCAGAGAGGTTTCTGGGGGTGGATCTGACCTAGCCGTGGCCATTCCTTGCAGGGGAAGAGGAAGTCCTGTCCTCCCCAGCCCAGCCGGGACTAGCAGCTGGGTAGAAGCCACTGGCTGGGGCATCCCCAGCCCTCCCCTCCAGTGATTTACCTCTCTGCTAGCTGCTCCTGGCACCTGAAACGATTCACCCACACTGCTGGGGAGCGACACTTGACCGCTCTTGCGGATTCCCTTTGCTTCCCCATCAGAAAGTCATTTTCTGCGGGGAAGCAAAGAAATCTGCAGGGGACATGAATTCTGCGCACACGCAGTGGCGCAGAATTCCCCTAGGAGTAGTGTCATGGAACCTACCCATGCAAAGGGTGTTTAAAAGAAATCAGGTTTAGACTTTAAAATGGTGGTCTGTGATGTCATGGATTATTTAAATGAACAAAATGTTTTGAGATCCAGGGCCAGAAGCTAAGCTGATGAAAAACAGCATAGCAACATCAAAGTTAATGTTGCTATGGCAGTATACACCAGCTAAGCTCCCAGTTTGTATGAAAGACCCTATCAAAAATAATCTTTTATTTAGCTATGTCACTTATCCATCCTGGAAAATACTAAACTCTCACCTTAAGAGCTGCCTTTATTGTTTTCCCTCTAGCTCAGTGGTCTCCAAACTATGAGACGTGCCTCCCTATGGGGCACAGAGGAACATTCGGGGTGGTGCATGGTGGGGCCTGGGCCAGCCCCCATGGAGAGTGGGGGGAGGGAGAGCCACCCAGCCCTGCTCTGCCCCCAGCCACAGCTCCGCTCCACCTATCCCCATCCCTGCTCTGCCTCTAGCCCCTAGCTCCTCTCCCATCCCCAGTTCTGCTTCCAGCTCCGCCGTCAGCCTAAGCTCCTCTGCTGAGCCGACTGTGCGGAGGGGGGAGAATGCAGACAGATTCCATTACTGGTAATGGGGGGCGCGACAGGAAAAGTTTGGGCACCACTGCTCTAGCTGTATCGCAGAAGCATTGATTTCCATGCTGCTGTTTGAAGCAGGTATATTGTCCTTGCCAAGGGAGAAAACGGAGTGGTCATTAGGATTCATAAACATTGGGAAAGCCTATTAAAACATCCCAGCTGAGAACTTCAGGGCTTAGGGGATACATTGCCATTAGTCTACAGATTTTTGTCTTGGTGCGGTAGGCAGCTGGATGCAAAGAGAGAAGACCCTTCAGCTCTTTAAAGCAAAGGGGCACAGAGAGTGTAGCCATGGGAGAGGCTGACCTTTGTACCCATAAAAAGGCAAGGCTCAGACAATTGTCTCCTGGCTGCAGTCCGGTAGTAGTGAGCAGTGTTGTGCACACAGTCCCTGAGGCTCATAGCACCATTCCTTCTGCTTTTATCAGACAGCAGAGTCCTGTAGAAGAGGGCACCAGCTGGGGAAAAGGAAACAACAGCAATCAGGTCTTGCGTTGTCCTTAAAGGTCTCTCAGCTCCTCCTCAATCCCACCTGCAGATTGCGGTGTAGAGCACAGAGAAGTGAAAATACATTCCCCTGCCTCAGAGGAGTCTGCTCAGCCAGGGTGGGGAGCTAGTCAGAGGAAGGGCTGTCAGGCAGCAAGCGTTCCCTGAGGATGACACTTTCTGCAGACCAAATTCAGCCTTGGTTTAAATGCTGCATCTCCATTGACTATAGTTGGGTTCTGCCTGTCATGCTATTTATTATTGTTATTAAATGTCTTATGTGCATTGGGGTAGATCCTGAAGGGCCCACTGGGGTTCAAGGCCCCATTGTGCTCAGGGCTGTATGTCCTCTTAAGAAGATGCAATCCCTGCCCCAAAGAGCCTATGATGTGAGTTTGACACTAGGTAGCTACTAGTCTGTAGTCTAGTTAGTACCTTCACAATGAACATGTAGAGCTGTGAGGGACCAGGGGAATTCCCCACATTGCAGATATTAGCAGAGAACTGATTCCTCTCTCTTATTAACTGCCATCAGCTGCTGTCTGCTGAGAGCAAAAATACACTAAGCAGAAAACAAAGGCACAACTGTTGTGCAGTTTCATTCACCAATCTGGTGTTCACAGAGGAGGATTGCCAGCAGCACGGGTGGAAGAACTAACGTGCTTTGTCGGTTCAAGACCCCTCCAGTGATAATTTTGACTATGTCAGCATGGTTCTTCTCTGAGTGCTGACTCATGTCCATTCCATGTTAGGTGTGTGCATGCCATGTGCACCGTTGCCGGAGATTTTCCCCTTAGTGGTATCCATCGAGCCAGCTCTAGTGCCCTCTGGTGCTGCGCACGAATGCACCAGTATAGGGGCACAGCCAGCCACGCAGTCTCTCAGTTCCTTCTTACTGCCTGTGATGGCTGCTTGGAATGACGCTTCTTGCTTTAGCAAGGTTTCTTCCCAGTTGTTTTTGGACTATAACTTTTAGTTTCTTAGTTTATCATAGTTTCGTGTATATAGTTAGTGTAATTAGTGTTAGTGTACATAGTTAGTCCCTATCGTCGACGGATGTCTTCGCCCCAGGGGCCAGGCATGCCCTGGTCCCCCGGCTTCAAACCTTGTGCTTCCTGTGACAAACCTATACCTGTGAGCGAACCGCACTCCAGCTGCTTGAAGGGCTTGGGGGAAACTCAAGTGAGGGACAAGTGCAAGATCTGTCGGGACTTCAGACCCCTTACTAAAAAAAGACAGAGACATCAGGTTGAAGGCTATCCTGATGGAAGCTGCCCTCAGATCTGCCTCAGAGCCAAGCTGCTCTGATTTGGCACCAAACACTTCGGCGTCAGTGCGAAGCCCTTCCCCAAGCTCTTCCCGGCACCGTTCACCATCTCCACTGCTGAGGAACAAGCACAAAAAGCAGTGCACTGACAGGGAGCGCTCGCTGGTGCAAAAACCGAACAAGTGGGGGGAAGGAAGCACAGTGAGACTTGTGCCAGGCCACTCTTCCACGCCTGATCTCAGGATGGCAGTATTGACTCCGTCCAGAGCGTTGAGTCCGGTGCAAGACCCTCCGCCGACACTCGGAAGCCACTGTGGCACCAGCGATCTGACTTTCCCATCAACCCTGGAGGCTTTTCAAGTGGCCAGGGATTTACTGTCTCTCCCGGTCCCCCAAACTCCGATGGGACACCTGCCAGCTCCGATGACCAGAAGCAGGAAGGAGCAAGGAGCATTGAGTTCCTTCCTGGCATTGGGCCTCCTGGCACCCTCTAGAGCAGGGGTGCGCAAACTTCCACATCTGGGAATAGAAATTGTATGGTGGGCCATGAATGCTCACAAAATTGGGGTTGGGGTGCAGGAGCGGGTCAGGGCTCTGGTTGGGGGTGAGGGCTCCGGGGTGGGGCCAGAAATGAGGAGTTCAGGGTGCAGGAGGGGGGTTCGGGCTGGGGTGGGCATATGGGGGGGGTGAGAGCTCCAGCTAGGGGTGCAGGCTCTGGGGTGGGCTGAGGGGTTTGGGGTGCAGGAGGGTGCTCTGGGCTGGGACCGAGGGGTTCGGAGGGGGATCAGGGCTGGGGCATGTGGGGGGTGTGAGGGCTCCGGCTGGTGGTGCGGGCTCTGGGGTGGGGCTGGGGATGAGTAGTTTCAGGTGCAGGAGGGTGCTCTGGGCTGGGATTGAGGAGTTTGGAGGGCAGGAGGGGGATCAGGGCTGGGTCAGGGGGTTGGGGAGCGGGGGGGAGGCTCAGGGGTGTAGGCTCCAGGCAGCGCTTACCTCAAGTGGCTCCCAGAAGCAGCAGCATGTCCCTTCTCCGGCTCCTACGCAGAGGTGCAGCCAGGTGGCTCTGCATGCTGCCCCGTCCGCAGGCACCGCCCTTGCAGTTCCCATTGGCCGCGGTTCCCGGCCAATGGGAGCTGCGATGAGGCAGTGCTTGGGGCAGGGGCTGCATGCAGAGCAGAGCCCGCTGTCTGCCTCTACGGGTAGGAGCTGCAGAGGGCCCATCTGCTGCTTCCGGGAGCCGCGTGGAGCAGCCCCCGACCTTGCTCCCCGGCTGGAGCGCCAGAGGGAGGCCATACCGCTGCTTCGGGAAGCCGCATGGTGCAGCCCCCGACCCTATTCCCCAGCTGAGCACCGGAGCGGGGCAAGCCCCAGACCCTGCTCCCCAGCAGGAATTCGAGGGCCGGATTAAAATGGCTGGTGGACCAGATCTGGCCTGTGGGCCGTAGTTTGCTCACCCCTGCTCCAGAGGCAAGCCAGCCCTGATCCCCATGTTCCAATTATCTCCGGTTTGCTGCCGGTCCCCGGACCACCAGCACGGCATGGAAACAGAGACAGGTACCTCTCTGCCGTGGTCTCTGAGAGAAGACTCCTCTTCTGAGTCTAAAAGGGACCCCTATGTGCAACCTAGAGTCACCACCCAGCTTATGCACCACTGGACTTCAGTGCTGGTTCCCCCACCAGCACCTGGCCAGCGGGTCACTGGTCAATGCAGTGGTCTTACTGGAACTCCTGGGGGGTTTCCCCGGTACCAGGTCCTCCCTCCCATCATTCTGACTTGGTGGTTTCTGAGAGGCAGGCTACTGCTCTTCCTGCTCAGCACCGGACCCCGCCTCTGGTACAGAGCCCAGGACAGACGTTCAGGAGATGGAAGTTGTTGAGGCTGAGAAAGAGGAAGGAGCCCCTCCACCAGTGCAAGCTGGCTCTTCATTCTCTCCAGATGAGGCTGTCGTGGGACCTAGTAGCCTGCTTCCTCAGGACGATTTCAGGGCCCATCAGGACCTCCTGAAGCGGATAGCAGCTAACCTGGGGCTACAGATTGAGGAGTTTAAGGAATCATCCCACAGCTTTGACATTCAGTCTGCAGCAGCTCCCTCCAAGGTGGCCTCGCCCATCAGTGAGGCTGTGATGGGTCCGGTCAAGGTCCTGTGGCAAACTCCTTCTTCTCTGCCCCGCGCCTCAAAGAGATCAGAGAAGAAATATTATGTGCCAGTGAGTGGGTTTGAATACTTCACACACACCCCTCCAAGGTCACGGGTGATGTCAGCAGCCAACGAAAGGGACAGGCAGTGCCAGTCAAGCGATGCCCCCAAACAAAAGGACACCAAGAAACTGGACTTTTTGGGAAGAATCGCGCCTATGAATGGGGGCCATGAGGAGATTCTGCAAGACTTGAGAGGGAAGGGGTTTGATCCTCATATTTCCTAATCCCAAAGGCGGCCTTTGGCCCATTCTGAACCTGCATTGCCTCAACAGATATCTCAAGAAACTGAGGTTCCGCATGGTCTCCCTGGCCTCCATCATTCCCTCCCTGGATCCATGGTACTGGTATGCTGCCCTTGACTTAAAGGATGCATACTTTCACATGTCTATCTTCCTTGGCCACAGAAGATTTAACAGATTCATTGTGAATCAACGCCACTACCAATACACTGCTCTCCCATTCGGCCTGTCTGCAGCCCCCTGGGTTTTCACAAAGCGCCTGGTGGTAGTAGTGGCCTTCTGCAGACCATGGAGTCCAATCTCCCTGTACCTCAGTGATTGGCTGATCAAGGGTCGGTCAGAGATTCAAGTACAGAACAGCATCAGCACAGTCTAACCACCTTCAGAGCTCTGGGCCTGCTGATAAATTAACAAGTCAGCTCAGAGAATAGAATTGATTGGGCTGGTACTCGACTTGACCCAAGCCAGGGCCTTCCTACCGGAGACCCAATTCCAGACTATACTGGACCTAATATCTAAAGTCATGGTCCACCCAGTTATGACAGCTCGGGTTTGCCTCAAGCTACTGGGGCACATGGCTGCATGTACTTACATGGTTCAGCATGCAAGGTTGCACCTCAGGCCCCTCCAGATGTGGCTAGCTTCAGTATACTCCCCGAGCAGACAACATCTGGACTCAGTGCTCACAGTTCCTCCCCTGGTCCTCGCCTTCCTGTACTCATGGAAAGACCCAGGTTGATAATGATGGGGGCGCCCTTTGTTATCCCACAACCATCAGTATCTTTAGTCTCGGATGCATCAGACCTAGGGTGGGGATCCCACCTCAGGACTCAGAGCCTCTGGTCCCAAGAAGAACTCTGCCTGCACATAAACGTCAGGGAGCTCAAGGCAGTATGCTTAGCATGCCAAGTGTTCCTTCCCCAGATCTCAGGTGGGGTGGTGCAAGTCCTGACAGACAATACTGTGGCCATGTTCTATATCAACAAGCAGAGAGGGGTTCGATCTTCAGCCCTATGTCAGGAGGCCATCCGTCTATGGGACTTCTGCGCAAAGCACTCCATTCACCATAAGGTGTGTCATCTCCTGGGAGCCCGGAACGCACTGGTAGATCACCTCAGCAGATCCTTTTCCTCTCACCAAGAGTGGTCACTTCACCAAGAGGTGGACCTGTTCACGACCAATCAGAACAGGAAATGCCATCAGTTTTGCTCACTGCGCAGGCACAGCCTGGGCTCCATCTCCGATGCTTTCTTGCTCCCTGCTCCTATTCTACACTTTCCCCCCATTTACTCTGGTTCACAAGGTGAGGGTTATTTTGATAGCCCCGGCACAGCCATGTCAACACTGGTTCAGCACGCTCCTGGATCTATCAGTAGCAGCTCCACTCACTCCCACTCTGTCTGGACCTAATCTTGCAAGACCATGCATCAGCATTGACTCCGTGGGAATGGGGGAAAAAAACAGTGGATGCTCAGCACCCACCAGCAGCCCTACCGATAAGCTCCTCCCCCTCCCCCCCAGCACCTCCTGCCTGCCAGTGGACCCCGCCGATCAGCACTTCCCCTTCCCCTCCAATGCCTCCCGCCGCCCTGGTGATCAGCAGTTCAGTGGCATGCAGGAGGCACTGGGGGAGAAGGGGAGGAGTAAGGGTGGGGCACACTTGGGGGAGGGAGCAGGGCGGGGCAGAGCACAGGCAGGAAGAGGTGGGGCGGATGTGGGGCCTTAGGGGAAGGAGTGGAATGGGGGCAGGGCCTGGGGCAGAGCAGGAGTCAAGCACCCCCGGGTTAAGTGGAAAGTTGGCGTCTCTGCATGGCTAGTTGTTTCACCCAAACCTTGCTTCCCTGCACCTAAATGCATGGTTGCTACATGGCTGAACCCAGAAGAATAGGCCTGTTTGAAACAGGTTTGGCAGGTTTTGCTAAGTAGTAGGAAGCCATCCACTAGGGCTATCTACCTGGCCAAGTGGAAGCACTTCTCAATATGGGCATCTCAATGAGCGCTCTCTCTCTCTCTCTCTCCAACTTGATCTTCCCTTCTGTCTGTCTTGAACTACTTGCTCCATTTAAAGCAGCAAGGCCTGGCCCTCATGTCTATCAAGGTGCACTTAGCAGCAATCTGAGCCTTCCATCCACCCGTGAATGGCAGGTCAATGTTCTCCCACGAGACAATGGTATGGTTTCTCAAGGGGTTGGAGAGGCTCTATCCTCAGGTCCGCGAGCGGATCTCCCCATTGGCCTTAAACCTGGTTCTGTTGAGACTCACGGGTCCTTCCTTTGAACCATTAGCATTGTGCCCCCTGCTGCTTCTCTCTTGGAACCTTGTGTTCTTGGTGGCAATGACCTGTGCCTAAAGGGTCTCTGAAATCAAGGCCCTTATGTCAGAACCGCCTTATGCAGTGTTCTTCAAGGAAAAGGTCCATCTGTGCCCTCACCTGGCTTTCCTGCCAAAGGAGGTGTCACAATTCCATAGCAACTGGCCATTTTCCCGCCAGTCTTCTTCCCAATGCCTCACAAGAACTCTGAGGAACAGCATCTTCACTGATTGAATATTAGGTGTGACCTCTCCTTCTATACTGAGAGGACTAAACCCTTCTCCAAATCCATGCAACTCTTCGTAGCAATAGCAAAAAGGATGAGAGGGCTTCCTGTATCAGCCCAGAGGGTCTCGTCCTGGATAATCACCTGTATTCAGGCTTGCAAGTGGCAGGCAAATGTCCTGCCTCTGGCCATCTTAAATGCTCACTCCACAAAAGCCCAGGATTTCTCAGCAGCGTTTCAAGTAAAGGTCCCAATCCAGGACATCTGCAGGCCTGCAACCTGGTCATGGGTACATACCTTCACATCCCACTACGCCAACACCCAACAGGCCCAGGACAACGCCAGATTCAGGAGAGTGGTATTGCAGTCAACATGTCCATGAACTCTGAGCCCACCCCCTGGGGTACTGCTTGGGAGTCACCTAACATGGAATGGACGTGAGCAAGCACTCAAAGAAGAAAAAACAGTTACTAATCTTTTGTAACTTGTCCTTTGAGATCTGTTGTTCATGTTCATTCCACCCCCACAACCACCCGCCCCTCTCTCGGAGTTAGCTGGCAGGAAGGAACTAAGAGGGTGCAGGGCCGGTGGCCTCCCTTATAATGGTGCATAAGTGCGCGACACCAGAGGGTGCTAGGGCCGGCCCGATGGATACAGCTTAGGGAAAAATCTCTAACGGTGCACGCGGCGCACACATGCCTAACGAGGAATGGACATGAACAACACAGCTCGAAGAACAGTTACAAAAGGTTAGTAACTATTCTTTGAAGCTTTTGCTTTCCTTTTAGTCTGCATAGTAGAGAGAAGCCTAGAATAGAGCCCTCGGAGGCATATGGTGTCTGAAGGAGCCCTTTTGCTCTGCCTAGTATAGTAGTAATAATAGACAGTGCCTAATTAATGTCATCTACAGCCACTCTGTTCTCACAAGAGTAACTATAACTTTCTCCCCTATGAAAAAATCTCCCTAAACATGAACTTGTGGAAGGATCAGGTAATTTCTGGGGTGAGACTCTTGTAGGTTTGCCACAGTCTGAATGTTAACTAAACCTATGGCCTGATTTTTAGAGGTGCTGAGCGCCTGCAGCTAACTGCAATCAATGGCAACTGTGTGTGCTCAGCATCCCGGAGAATCAGGCTGTAGCATGGAGTGTTGCTTGTTTACTCATTTGCCTCCTGCTCTGTCTTTGCTCTGTTTCCTTCTTGCTCCCAATCTCGCTCCCTGTCTTCTCCCCAATCCTTTTACCTTAGGTTATACCTACGGTGCAATCAGAGGTGGCCCTGCAGCATGTGCATGGATCTAGATAGCTCCAGCAACAACAAAGCCACGGCAGCATGGCCTGTACAAGTCCACCCATGAGCCTGGGCAAGTACTTGAGTGGCTAGCCCATGCTACTGCCAGTGCTGCGGCAGCTGCACCGCTATTGTTATCCAAGCCAGCTGGATCAGAGCGAGCTTGGGTATGTTACAGTGCTATAGTCACGCCTCTGACTCAATGTAAACATACATAAGTGTTTCTGTCCTTGCCCCTGCCTGCTTTGTGCCATCTCTCATGCTACCCTTAGGCTTGGAACAGTTATCCTGCTCTTGATCACCAAGCATCTTTACTCCGCCTCCCTGAAAACCACCTTTCCACACAAAACCTCCTCCTTTCTCTTGATTATTAACCTATCCACCCACCCATCATCTTTCCTGAACTGTCCTCCTATGTCTTGGTTTCACCTAGCGTGGATTAGGGCCAGTCCAGCAGACTCACCTGAGTCCCTTGAATTCAGTGGGATTGTTTCTGTGAATAAGAGTTTGTAGGATCAGACCCACAGACCACAAACCCTTATGTTGCAGGATGTTTTACTGTGTCATGCTAAAGTGGGAAGTAAATGAATTGTGCTGTATACCTGTCCTTTAGTCATAAGTAAACTTAAGGTTAAATTAATAATGTACGTGGGGCTTCAGGGGGTATATAAATCACAGCAAGAACTGAATTTGGCCCTAAATCTGTCGGTTGTACCTGCTTCTGAGTAGAACTCGACTTATTCTGAACAAGGTATCAGCTCTGGATATCAGAATGTACACTGGGACTATGTTGTAATGTAGTACCTGCTTAGTTCACTTCAGAGCCTGACCCTAAAGAGTATATTGCATTTAATGCTCCTGTTTTTTCTTCATAGTTTTGGTTTTTGTATTTTCCTGCCTTCTCTGTCAATTATAAACATTAAACAATCCTGTCAAAATGAG